GTGTGTGTGTGTGTGTGTGTGTGTGTGTGTGTGTGTCAGCAGCAGGGGCTCATGGTGTCCAGACCACTTTGGCCCAGGCCCTTCTGCAAGGACACAGCTGGCCAGGAAACCCCGCACCGCTGGGACCAGCAGGACCCTGGGAGGGGAGCCCTCCCTGCAGTTCTACTGCTCACTCTGGGCAGCCCTCTGGCCAGGGAATGGGCAGGCCAGGGCTGGGGACGGGGACTCACACAGGCCCAGCTTTCACACAGCCTCAGGGACATCCCTGGCCTCACTATGGGAAGACTGAGACCCAGAGGGAAAGAGCTTACGCAGGTTCACACAGCAGCTCAGGGGCCAGGGCCACTCCCTCTCCTCCCCTGAGGCCGGACATCTGCCAGCAGGAGATCCGTGTGGCTGGGACCCCCGGGCTGACTCCCAGCACAGCCTAGGCTCCAGCATGGCATCCTGTGGCCTCAGGATTCAGTGGCCACGTGGCTCCTGAGCCCAGACTGCAGATGGAACCAGTCGGTTCCGTGGGCGCGATGGTTTGACAATCCCACTCCCCATCACCCTCCCCACCCCACCTCACTTTAGCAGAGAGCCAGGGGTTCGGGGACTCACGGGGTGGCTGGATGGGCTCGCAGTCCTCGGTGCCACACGGCCGGGAGCTCTCCGGCCAGGCCTCATGGCCACACTGGTCGCTGTCTTCCTCGGGCAGCCCCGTCTGGGTGTTGACACACTTGACCAGGCGCCGCTGGACGCCCCCGCCACAGGGGGCTGAGCACTGCGGGGGGTGGGGAGGAAGGAGTGTCTCCCTAGGCCACCTTAGCGGCAGGGGCAGCGACACCTCCTCTGGGAAGCCGTCCCTGCGCCCTGTGCGTGACTGGCCTGCCCTTGCTCCCAGCCCCGCCCTCAGTGCCACTGGGAGGGCCTGGTCCCATGCCCAGAGCCCACTCAGTACTCAAACCCCACTCTCATTTGTGGGATCGTCTCCTGCAGCGGGGAGGGGCGTGAGAACAGTGGGGACAGCCCTCAAGGCTGCAGGGCAGTGAGCCCCTTGCACGGGACATGCCTGAGAGGCCTGGGCAGAGCCCCAGGATGGAGCCCTAATGCAGCAGCGGGCAGAGACGTGGGCGAGACACAGCTGTGCCCGAGGGGTGGGGCAGAGGACCTGCCCAGCCCACAGGCAGGAGGGGTAAGACAGGTTTCACAGCCGGGGCCCAGCCCACCGGGCTTCGTTGTTATCAGGTGCGGGTCTGAAAGCCCTGAACGTGCGCCAAGTCTGTGCCAGTGTCGTGCGGTGCCCACCGAGTCTATGCCCGGCCCTGTGCTCCATCCTGTTACTTCATTTAATCCTCCTGACCCTCCTCTCCCAAGCTGTCCCCATTTTACAGATGAGAAAACAGTGACCCAGCAAGGCAAAGCAGCCTGCCCAGAGTCACTCAGCCAGTGGGACAAAGACTCAAACCCTGGCCCAGCTGACTCCAGGGCCCGGCTCAGGGCCCACAGCTGAGATTTCTGAACCCCTTCGTTCTAAACAGACCCGGCAGAAGGTGTCCTGCCCACCCGAGGCTCCTCTTCTGCCCCCTTCTGCCGCTGGCCTTTGCCAGGCTCCCTGATCCCCCCAAGCTCGTCATTCCTGCCTCAGACTTCACACCTGCTGTCCCTTTTATCCCTGTCCTTGGCGTCACTGACTCCTCCGTTGGGTCTCAACTCCAGGCCCCTCCTGGGAAGGCCTTCCCTGACATCACAGCACACATGCCCTTTCCTTGTCTGTTTCTCCCTGGCAGGCTGTGAGCACCAGCAGGGCAGGACCTCATCCAGTCACTGCTGCATGAGCAGTGGCCAGAGACAGCCTGGCTCTCAGCTACACTCAATAGCTGCTTCACCCAACCCAGGACCGACCAGGTGCCGCCAAGCCCTTGCCCCCTGCTCCTCCACGCAGCCCAGCTCACCTGGCCCCAGGGCCCCACCACCCACTGCGTGCAGGGGTGAGTGTTACAGGGCCTCGTGGCGTTGGGTCTCAGCGCTTCCTTGCAGAGGCCTGGCTCCGGACAGGTCACCAGACGCTGCTGTTCACCACCGCCACAGGCCTCAGAGCACTGGGGTGCAGGGAAGCAGTCAGGGCACAGCCAGGGTCTGAGGGCGCCCCCTCCCCCCAACTGGACCCCCAGGCCTCACCTCCCTCCAGGAAGAGGTGTACCAGCTGAGGCAGGGCTGGGCCCCGCAGGGCCGGTGCGCAGGCGGCTTGGCTGGCCCCGGCTGACAATGGAAAGGTCGCAGCGGCCGGAGGTCCCGTGTGTCCACACACTGCACATCCCGCACTGAGGAGCCTCCACCGCAGCTGCGAGAGCACTGGGGACGGAGAGACGCGTGTGGACACCCCCCACGTGCAGGCCCACATGTGCGACCCCGTGAGGCGTGTGGCAGGGAAGGCATCAGGCCCACGCTCCAGCCCGGGGCAAATCCCTGAAGACCCCCAGTGAGAGGCCAAGGCTGGCAGGCCCCAGGCAAAAGGTGCCCGGCCAGGGGCTGCCATAGGCGGGGACAGACGGAGAAAGAGAGGAACAAAGGCAAGCTGGTGAAAGACAAGTCCAGATGGGGTCAGAAATACAGAGGGGAGGAGACAGGCCAAGCCAGGCAAAAATGAAGACTCCCAGGAGATTCAGATCCAAGTGCCATCAGGTGCCCAGACGTGCAGCCCAGAGCCCTCCCCTGCCCTGCTGCTCTCGGAACACAGCCCGTGGGGACCCAGGGCTCCGCCCCGTGCCCTGGGGCTCCCTGCCCTGGCTCCATCCTCACGCACCTTACTCCAGTTGCCCGAGTGCCAGGTGGCACAGGGCCGCAGGTGGCAGCGGCGGGCAGGCTGGGGCCGGCCAGCAGGGGCGCAGTCCTCATCCCGGCCGGAGCTACAGCGCACCGGCCTCCAGACGGCACCCAGGCCGCAGGTGGTGGAGCACTGCGGGGCAGGGACCCGTGAAAGCCAGGCAGACCCCATCCCCGCCAGGCCCCCACAGCCAGGAACTACCCACCTAGGCTAGCGAGACCTCAGCAAGACAGGCCCCTCTTCTGGGCCTCAGTTTTCTTATTTGCAAAATAGACTCCTCCACCCACCTCGCAGGAAGATCGTGAGAATAAAAAGTCAACCCCCACCCCCCAGCAACCAACTGACCCTGCCCACAAAGGACAAAGGGACTGTGTTGCAGTGTCACTGGTGCAGAGGCGGGGGAAGGGGACCCTGCGGGCACCCCTGACCAGCTATTCTGACCAGCCTGCCCCTTCCCACACCCAAATTAGGGATCTGAACAGAAGCTTGCTTCTCCTGCAGTGACCATCTGGGGACCCAGGGAGGGGGCACTGGCCAGCTTCTTTCATGCAGCTCAGACCCCTGCAGGACACTGCCAAAGGAGGGTGGAGCCATTGAGGGCAGAGCCAGGTGGCAGTGGGCAGCGCGGAGGAGCCAGGCTGAGCCTCAGGGAAGCTTGCTGCTTTCTGGGCAGGACTGGGCCTGTGGGCCATGAGGGGACCGTCCCCACTGCACAGCTGTCTGAGTGAACTCTGTCCTGGGGTGTGCTGCCAGAGTGTGCCTGCCCTGGCTTCCCTGAGGCCCCCTGTGCTGCCCAGGAACGGGCCCTGTGGACCCCTCATCCGCCTAATCCTGGGAACCCTTGCCCCGAGGGGGGCGGGACAGACGGCACCTGTGTCCCACTCTGCTCACTTTCAGATGAGGCAACAATCACCAAGGTCCCACGCAAACTCCCCGCCAGCCCGGCCCACACCACTTGCCTTGCTCCAGTTTCCAGCTTGCCAGCTGGCATTCCTGGCAGCCAGCGGGTCCACAGGGGGCCCCACCTCAGCCAGGCTGGGGGCGGGGGGCTGGGTCTCAGGGGCTCTGCGGCTGTTTGCAGGGCTGTCCCAAGCTGGCGTGGACAGCAGCCCAGAACTCAGGGGCACCTCAGGGCTGAGGGACTCAGGCTGGCCCTCGGGTCCCGGGCTCGGGGCAGGCTCAGGCTCAGGTGTGTGCCCAAGGCCAGTCAGGGTCATGGGGAGGAAGGTGCCCCACACTGCCACGGTCCGCAGGTCCCAGGAGCCTGGTCCTGGGGCTGGGGAGTTGGGAGTCCCCGGCTGCAGGGGGCTGTCCCTGCCTTCCGTCTCTGGCGGAGGGGCTATGGGAGGAGGAAGGGGAGGAGCCGCCTCCACAGTGGGCCTCAGCTCACTGTCCCCAGGCCCCAGGCCACCCTCCAGAGCCGGCTTCCAGGCCACAGTCCCTCCTGTCCACAGCTCCACCACATCGGGACCAGGAGAGGAATGGGTGCTGCCGACAGGGGACAAAGGGGGCAGCGTGGGACTGGGTCTCAGGGGCAGGTGGGGGGCTCTGCGGCCCCCGGGCTCCTCATTGTCCTTGGAAACCTCATTGGTCCTGTCCCGCCATGGAGAGGGCAGCTGGCGCTGGCTGTCCTCACCAACCAAGTCATTTTGGCTCCCAGGGGTGGCAGGCATCTGCACACCATCAGGGGAAACCCTGGGCCAGGGCAGGCTGGGGAGCCCAAGGTCTGGGGCCCCCATGGGGGTGTCTTCCTCAGGCAGGAAATTGACCAGAGTTCCCAGGGGTCAGCTCTGAGGGTGGCGGTGGGGAGCGGCCGGCCTGGCTGGGCCAAGGGCTAGGGGACCAAGGTCCCGGTGCCCCCTCCTCCGTGGCTGCAGGAGGCTCTGTGGCAGGTGCGGGGCTACCTGTGGAGGGCGCAGCAGGACGGCCGCGTGGTGTGGGTGTCCCATCCCCTGTCCCTGCCAGGTCTAGATCGGGCTCCTCAAAGGGCCCGTAGGACAGGTCCTCGTGGAAGTTGATGAAATTGTAGTCGTAGTAGAAGTCATCCACAAACACGGGCCCCGGCGGGTCCAGCTCCAGGGCCTCCTCGTCGATGGCATTGCCCATGCTGGCTGGCCTGGGTGCTGAGGTGGGTGAAGGGCGTGGGACCAGGTGGCGCGGGATGAAGTCAGCCTCGTTGAAGAGCTCGTGGCTGGAGGAGCCGCTGCCTGAGCCTTCAGGGATCATTGTGTCCAGGGGCCGCGGACAGGGTGGCAGAGAGCAGGTGACTTGGCGGGCTGGCTGCTGGGCCTCGTCACAGGGGACACCGGTGTCATTGGTGCAGAGGACACTTCGGTGCTGAGTGCCCTTCCCGCATGTCACTGAGCACTGCGGGGGAAGCCAGGGTGAGGGGCTCAGGCTGGGAGGCAGGCTGCCAGGGGACGCTGAGGCAAGGTGGGGGCAAGGCACTGTCCACTGCCCGGTGTCAGAGTGGCAGAGACCCCAGCCAGCCCTCTCTGGCCCTACCCAGCTCAAGGTCATGGCTGTGGCCACGGCTTTGCAGGGGCTTCCTGATCCCTGAGGCTTTGGAGTCAGGCTGGACCCTGGAATGCCCCAGACTCCCTCCCACCCACGGTACCAGGCAGTAAGGGCTGGAGGAAGGCTGTCTGCCTCCCTGTAGCCTGAGACCAAGGGTGGCGCTGGAGGCGGCCCCTCCCATCCCACACTCACCTGAGACCAGTTCCCCACAGCCCAGGTGGCTGGACAGGGCACGTGGCGGTTGCAGGGGGTTTCAGCTGGGGGCCGGGGAAGGTGTTCACAGGCGGGCGGCTCCAGGGCTCTCTGCTCATCCAGCCCCACGCTGCGGATGCAGAGCACGGCCCGGCGGGAGACGCCCCTAGGCCCGCAGGAGCTGGAGCACAGCTGCCACTCACCTGCCCACCACCTGGCAACAGCACACGGGTGGCATCAGCGTGGCGTCAGACGGATGGCATCGGCAAGCTCACCGGCAGGGAGGGCCAGGCCGGGCTCCCAGGCCCTCGAGGTTTGGGCAGAGCTGGGACTGTGGCCAGTGGCTGCTTCTCCAGAGCTCCAAGCCCAGGTAGGTATCCTCCCCCTAAGTCTGGTGACACGGCCCAGCCCCTCCGCTCCTGCCACCCTCCCCTCAGGGGAAGTGAGCGTGACCTGAGGCCTATTTCCACATCCAGGGGCCTAAGGAGGAGGACCACAGGTGTCCAGGCTGGCCCAGGCTGGGGTAAGGGGTGACCGGGAGCTGGGGCTTCAGCCTTGGGAAGACCCGTGAAAACCTGGCTGCCTCTGCTTCTCCCTGGGAACTCTGGGGCCCAGAAGTAGGGGCCTGTGGCAGACCCAGGCCGCCTGGGGGTGGGGAGTTGGCAGGGGTGTGGAGGCGGCTCACCTGGCAGGGCAGGGCTGCTCGCTGCACTGCCTCTGGCGGTCATCGGGCTGGTCCAGGGGGTCACAGTGCCCCTCGTCCACAGGCCCTGCCTGCCGCTCCGAGCAGTACACACTCTGTCTCTGCACACCTAGGGGCCATGGGGCTCAGCCTGGGCCTGGCATCCAGATGCCCACTACCCAAGACCCAAAGACACCATTTCTGCCAGAACCCTCCCAGAACAGCACCTCACCGCCCGTGTCCGGATGAAGGCAGACCTCCACGGCTGCCTCCTCCTTGCTGTCCTGCTCTCACCCGCCCTCTCCTACGTAGCCTCCCTCTGACTGTCCCTGGAGAGGTGGCACAGTGTGGAGGTTTAGTGGGTTGGGTCCCCAGACCCACTGCTTCCTAGCTGAGATGCCTGGGCAGCTCATTTGGCCTCTCTGAACCTCAGCGGCCTCCTCTGTGAAGTTGGAGTGACAATCCTGCCTGCCTCCAAGCCCCGGAGGGAGGACTGCTTGTGGCCTTGCGTGTGCGGGCTCAGCCGTGCCTGGCACATCCTAAGAGCTCGATGTGTGCCAGCTGCTGCTAGCATGCAAACCCAGCCATGACGTCAAGGCTGCCCCACTGTCCACGCCCTTCTCAATGGCTCAGAGAACATCTAGAGAAGAAATGCATCAAGGGCAGGCCCCGCTCCCCGCCCCCACACCAGCCTTGGCACTGCTCCTGTCCTTCACACCCTCTGCCACTGCCCACCCCGGGGCTTTTCCACAGCCACGCTCCTCACTTAACTCACTTCCATACTGCCTGCTGAGGTCCAGCCTCAGGACCCCCTCTGCTGGTGGCTCTGCTTTCTCTGCTCCCCCGGGGTCTCAAGAGTAAACTGTCCCTCCCCTGAGCTGTCAGTCCCACACCCGTCCCCCTTTCCTCACCAACGGATTCTGATATTGCTCAAGGTCCCAACTACAGCAATGGGACCTGCTGAAAACATCCTGAGGCCACCCCCTCGAAACTAGGGTTTCTGGGACACAGTCCTGGCTGGGGAGAAACAGGCACGAGACCCTCGCTGGGAGTCAGCCCTTTCCCCTCCTACTTCCTGCCCAGAACATGGCAAGAGGCCTGGAAGGGAGGATGCCATCTGTGACAAGCAGGAGGGGAGGGCTGCCGTGGCAAGTACGCTGCAGCTGAGTGACAGTCAGCTCCAGGTCCCGCCAGCTTGGACTGTGCCCCTGGGACTTCCTGCTTGTCTGTCCCCGTCACCGCGGGGCACTTGCCTCTGCGTACACTCCTACACGGTCCACCTGCGAGACAGCTGATTTGCTGAAAGACAATCCCCCAAATGTCTCGTGCTGCACATGTATCTGTTGGTTTCTCATGTTTGTCTATTTAAAGACACCAGAATTATGCCAGGTGCAGTGGCTCATGCCTGCAATCAATCCCAGCGCTTTGGGAGGCTCAGTCAGGTGAATCACCTGAGGTCAGGAGTTCAAGACCAGCCTGGCCAACATGTTGAAACCCCGCCTCTACCAATAATAAAAAATTAACCAGGCATGGTGGCGCATGCCTGTAAACCCCAACTACTCAGGAGGCTGAGGCAGGAGAACCAATGGGACCTGGGAGGCGGAGGCTGCTGCGAGCCAAGATCGCACCACTGCACTCCAGCCTGGGTGACAGGGCAAGACTCCGTCTCAAAATAAATAAAATAAAGATAGCTGTATTAGATAAAACGGTTTCCTGGCTTTGGAAGGCGTCTACCCAGTTCTCCAGTTCTCATGTTATCATCATAACAGCATTTTAAGGCTCCCTCTCTTCCCCTGCGCACCCGCCCCCCCTCACCTCTCCTTTCCCTCCTCCCCACTCCCTCTCCTTCCCTCACCTCTCCTTTCCCTCCTCCCCACTCCCTCTCCTTCCCTCACCTCTTTCCTCCAAACAGGAATAATAATTTTTAAATAGCATTTTAAGGAATGCTCAAATGTCTCTATCTCAGATTCCCGATTCTGAGACCCTGAGGACACTGGGTGTCAACGATGGAAAGACTGAGGGGAAAGGGGAGGACTAAGAGATCGGGAGACGGAGGCGGTGGGGGGGGA